CTCAAGCCCAGACACGCTCAAGCCCAGACACGCTCAAGCCCAGACACGCTACCCACCTGCTTGATGGGGTAGAGGGAGCCCACCCTCTGGGTGCCGCTGTAGGTCAGCCAGTTGGTGATCTCACAGCTGCCCACCAGCCACTGGCGGCCCCGGAAGTCGCTGTGCTCACACAGCACCCAGCTGGGCCCAGCAGGTGCCAGAGACACAGGGAAGAAAACAGACAGACAGGCAGACAAGCAAGTGGAGGAGGAGGCGCGCACGTCAGAACATCCCCCACCTCCTCTTCTCTCCTGCTGAGACTCCTCAGTCTGGGGTCAGGGGTCAGGGGTCAGGGTCCCAGGTGGGGCGGGGGGGAGGGAGGCTGGGAAGTAGATGTGGGGTTTGCAGGGCAAAACAGGGCCCTGAGAGGCCCACTGGGTGGGGGCCCAGGTCCTGCGAGCCAGTGGCCCTTCTCTGTTTGCACTCTCGCTCCTTCCTGGCTTGGAAGGGAGTAGAGAAGAGGGGAGGGGAAGAGGCCAGAGACCCCTGGGATCTCCATCCCGCCACTCACTCATCCCCACTAGCAGCCCCCACACCTGGGGCTCGGGAACAACACACTCACACGCCCCCCTTGATCCGCACGGACAGCACGTGGTTGTTGAAGCCCTCGGCTTGCAGGCTCCGCACCTCCCCACTGAGCTCGATCTCCTTCCCCTCAAAGCACTCCAGTCCGTACAGGAAAATGGAGGGCTGCGAAAAGTGCTAGGGCCCAGGGGGATGGAGGAGAGGTGAGGCCACGAGAGCTCCAGTGCTAGACCCAGCTCCGCGGTCCCAGACACCGACCCAAGATCTGTGCTTCAGGCCCTCTTCCCTCCTGAGCTTCGCCCCACAGGGCCACCAACTCCTGGGCACGGCCAGCCGAGCAGTTCTCATTGATTCGGGGCTTACTACATGCCAGATTCTGTGTTAAGTGCTTTATCTGATCTCATTATAATTCAACAGCCCTATAAGGTAGATGCTATTACCATCCCTACTTAATAGAGGGGAAACTGAGGCTGGAGAAGGTAATCCGCTTGCTCAGACCCTAAAACTGGACTTCTGAACCAGGTCTGTTTTCAGAGCCCAATGTGTAGTCATAAGGGGCCTGTAGCCATAAGGGGCCTGGACCCTGGAACTGGCTGCCTGGCTTGGGGAGGCCCTGGCTCTACGTGTTACCAGCTGTGTGACCTGAAGCAAGTCGCGGGACCACTCTGTGCCTCAGTTTCTACATCTGGAAAGGGAGATCATAATGATAACATACATCTTAGGGCTGTGGTGAGGATTAAAGACCTGAGTACAAGGGAAGCCTTCTAAACACTGCCTGGAACACGCTATAATCTTAGTGAACATCAGCTGTTCTGATTAGGTGCTGCCATCGCCGCTGGCCCACCCAGGCAGCCACCAAGTCCTGCAGACACCAGCTCTTTAATATGACCTTTGTCACTTCTGTGCATCTCTTCCCTGGTCCAGGGTATCACCATTTATTCCAGGTCTCTGTAGCAGCAATCCCACTGCCCTTCCCCCTCCCATCCTTTCTGGGGCAGAAAGATCCAGCCATCTTTCTAGTTGATCCTGTCATCCTTCCCTGCATGGAACATCACCTTGGCAGAGCTAATCCCTGTTCCTAGCCCACCCCTGAGTGTTGGTCCCTCCTGTCCCTGCCCCACTTCTGTATCTGGACACACCACTTTGCAACTTTGCATTGTAAACTTCATGTCCATGTGACCATGGGCTCCTTGAATGTAGGGCTGTCTGAAGGGTGTCTGATTTCTTTCAAGGTCCCCAGGACCTATCTCAGTGGATACTCAATAAATATCTAGGAAATTGAACTGACTTTGAAGCCCCAGAGTCAAGGGGACCTGGGGCGATTCTGAAAAAGACTGGACTCAACTCTCACCAGCCCACTAGGCAGTGAGAAGAGGCTCTGTGCCCAGGACTCCCCCGCAGCAACCTCTGCCTCCAAGGCTGCCTGGAACTAGACAGGGGCACTCACCAGTGGTACCTTCCGGAGAGAGCCCAGGATCGTGGAGGATAGGCAGCCCATCGCCGTGAGAGTGGGGAACTCGCCCTCAGAGAGAATGTGCTGGTCACCCTCAAAGTTCTTCTCATCAAAGAGGATCCAGCTGGGGAAGGAGAAGAGTGGGGGAATGTGAGGAAGTCCCTGAGCCTGCCCTATCCCAGGCCTGCCCCCTTGGATATGGAAGAGTAGACACAGGCTTGATTGTGTTCCCCCAGTCCACGTGAGGTCAAGGATGAACAGGCACTGCAGCAGCAGGGACTGAGGTCCGATTTAAGAAAGAACTGAATGAAATCACACTGCCCCTGTGGAGGGGAACTTGGCAATATCAAGCAAAACTCTGTGGCCAATCACTTAGCAATCTCATATCTAGGAATCTATCCTCAGGACACCCTTCAAAAACATGAAATAACATATGCACAAGGCTTTCTTTTTTTTTCTTTTTTGGCAGCTGGCTGGTATGGACAACTGAACCCTTGACCTTGGTGGTACGAGGCTGTGCTCTAACCAACTGAGCTAACTGGCCAGATCCAACACAAACTATTTATTACAACACTGTTTGCAATAGCAAAGAGAAGAAACAGCCCAAATGTCCATCAATGGGGGACTGGTTGAATAAACTAAGAAAAAAATGGAGTATAAGTAGCAGTTAAAAAGGAATGAGAAAGAGCTCTTAGAGGGATGTAAAGTGATCTTCAAATTGTTAAGTGAAAAAAACAAGGTGCATTACAGTATCTACAGTATTCTTCCTTTTGAGATATAATTCACATATCATAAAATTCACCCTTTTAAAGTGTATAATTCATGGGGTTTAGTATATTCACCAGGTTGTAGTATGCTTCCTTTTTGTGTAAGATGATGTGGAGAGGGAAACAAAATATATTTGGTTTCAATAGTTATATGTAAATTTGTGCATGAGTGTATATTTGCTTGCATCTTCAAAAATAAACAATGCATGAATAAATCAAACACTGAAAAAATGATTCCCTATGGGGGAGAGAGAGGAAAGGGTGGCAGAGACAGAGATGGATGCTATTGGCTTTGAAACTGTTATAGACTGAATAGTTGTGTTCCCCCAGAATTATGTTGAAGCCCCAATGCCCAATGTAACAGTACTTATAAGTAGGGCCTTTGGGAGGTAATCAGGCTTAGGTGAGGTCGTAAGGGTGGGACCCCATGATTAGTGTCCTTATAAGAAGAGGAAGAGACAGGAGCTCAAGCTCTCTCTCCCCTCTATGTGAGAACACAGGCAGATGAAGGCCTTCTGCAAGCCAGGAAGAGAGCCTTAATTGGGGAATTGAACTGGCCACCACCTTGATCTTGGACTTCCCAGCCTCTAGAACTTCAAGAAAATAAACTTCTGTTGTTTAAGCCACACAGTCCATGGTATTTTGTTATAGCAGCCCAAACTAAGACAGGAACCATGTAAATATTTTATGTAATTAAAAAACAGAATTGAGGGCCGGCCCGGTGGCGCACTGCTACAGTGCGCCGCTTGGGAGCGTGGTGGCACTCCCGCCGAGGGTTCGAATCCCACATACAGACCGGTTCCCGCTCACTGGCTGAGCGAGGTGTGGGGGCAGCACTGAGGGTTGCGATCCCATTGCCGGTCCCGGTCCGGTACGGGCGCGACACTGAGGGTTGCGATCCGTTGCCGGACACGAAAAAAGCAAAAAAGGAAAAAAAAAAAAACAGAATTGAATAAAAATGAAAAGTATTCCTAAAAATTGAAAATAAATTAAATAAACGAACCTAAATGTATATCAAGTTGGTGATATAACCATACAGAAAAAAGTATTACTGCAAATGTCTTTAAAACACAGTACTTTGAACTATACATGCCTCAGGTGAATGTCCTGAGGACAAAAAGAACCACAAGAAACTCCAAACAGCATTCCATGGTTTTTACTGTTAATAGTAATATTGGTACTGTAATTTTGAAACATCTAACATACAGACTTTGCTCTCTAAATATCATTTCTCACTAAAAATAACCAGGGTTCCTCGGGGAATGGCTGATTCCAGGTTTGGGGCAAAAATGTACAAAATCGTCCTGGGGCATTTTATTGTACTAGAACAACAATGAAATTATCAAAACTGTTGGGGTCATATCAAAAGGACCCAGTGGCCATTTGAAGGGGCTCCCATTGGCCAAAGATAAAACAATTTGAGCATACAAAGCATAGTAACTGAAATGGATTGAAGCGTATCAAATACATAAAAACCCATGAGTTCATAACAGTACTTAAAAAAAAAACACTTCATTGGTCAGCTTTGGTGGCTGCTAAGCTACCAATTCAGAAATTATTCTCAAAATTGATAAAAAGAAAAGGTCAAAAATTGATCCTTAGGAAATGATCGACTGCCTTTTCTGTATAAACTATTTCCAGTAACCAAATAGTTGAAAATAGTTGCCAGCCCCGGAAAGTTCTTTATTGAAGTACACTAGCTAAGATACATAGAACGAATAACAAAAATTAGAAAAATCATTCTGTAACCTCTGAAGAAATAATGGGTCTTGGCAATTATCATGAATGGGTGCTAAAACCATAGGTGAAAGATAAATGGGGAATCTTATAATGTAGGGATCTCAACATTATTAAAAGTAGGA